ACTAGTATGGGATTACGAGTCGAAAATGTTAGTATGAGAGGTGATAGAGCAAATCCTAAGGGCTTGGATTGTGAAAGATGCACCTTAAGTAGTCTTATGAGATGTCTTAAGGTAGGAATGGGTAACTACTAAGCTACGTTAGGAGTAGGCCTCAAAGGCTACTCATAATAGAGGAACTCTAAGCATAGAATTTGCTTAGTGAACTAGTATCGTGACTAGAGGAAACCTCTAGCACGAAGAGGAATGACCGGAGGGAGCCTCCAGCATTCATGTAGGGCGACTAGAGGAAGCCTCTAGCGTAATATAAGATGACTAGAGTAAACCTTTAGCATAATGTTATGTGACTGGAGGAAGCCTCCAGCACACGTATGTAAGGTGATTAGAGGAAGCCTCTAACACCAAGTGGAGTGACTAGAGTAAGCCTCTAGCACGACAAAGCATGACTAGAGGAAGCCTCTAGCATAACAAAGTAATATAGATGAGCATGGCTTGAAGCCACGGGGGAATGGAGTTGATAAAGAACTACCATATAGTATTGTCTGACTAGCTTGAGGGCATTAATAGCCCAATTGGGAGTATCTAGCGATGGTGCCTTATTGACCCGATTTGAGTATGACTTACCTTACTTGATGAGATCAAGAAGGGTCAAGAAACTCATAAAGAACTTACGAAGGACCGAGAACGCATGTTAGCGGGATCAATGGAGGAGTTCAAGGAGAGACGACAGTCTCCCCACGATACATCGCCCATTTGTAATTCTCGAGAGAGTTGGGGTTATAGCATACAGATTGCAGTTGACTCCAGAAGTGGAGAGGATACGTAACGTGTTCCGCGTGTCTATAATAAAGGAATATATGTCGAATCCGTCGTACGTGTTGGGGGGAACACCCATGGAAATACGAGGAGACTTGAACTGTGTCTTACGACCGGTAGGGATACTTAATAGGCGAGCAAAGGAGCTAAGAAGCAAGAGTGTCCCAATGGTCAAAATCCCTTGGAAAGGTGACCGAGTTGAGGAGGAAAAATTAGGAAAAATGGAAGCCTTAATGAAGGAACAGTTTGCATTTCTATTTGACCGGGCAGTTGTGAATTTCGGGGACGAAATTCCCGTTAAGGGGGGGTGAACTTGTGACACCGCACCCGGATGTACTTGAATTTGAAATTTAATATGCATTTGAATTTTTCCTAGCGAATAAAACCGTGTAACGGGTTGCCGTGTTTAATTAATGAGCGATTAATTAAATTTTTATCGGGCCCATAATAATGCGAATGGGCTACCAAATATTGAGTTGGGATATCGTAATAATTTTAGAAGTCCAATAAAGTGCCAACCGATGTTGACAAAAATATTTGGACAACCTGAGTACTATTTTGACCCAACCGGCCAGAAATAGCAATAATAATCGGGAGAAACTTCACACACCCACTTGGGGATTTTCCTACATGATTTGTGGTCTCTAAATAATGAAGTGGAGACAAGAGGAGGTGGCAAATTCGGACTTATGGAGGAGGGAGTGATTGGAGACACAATCACACTCCCTATGTCCTATCTACACCTCAAAATGAGGCATTAGTTGAGGATAGAAATCCCCCTCTCATTTTGAGCCATACGAGCAGACCAAAGGGAAGAGAGAGCTCTAGGCAACACCACTCACAAGGCTCAAGCTTGAAGGAAGCAAGAAGAGGGGAAATCCAAGAAGAAAAAGGTGGTGTTTGAGGTGAGAACTCAACAATCATCCTTTAACTAGTATTTATCGAGTATGATTTTTAAGAAATCATTGGGTGGATTAAACATGAGTTTATACACGTTTAAAAGTGTATAATATTGACATAAAGTGGTGGTAATTAACTTAGAAGAATTGGGGAATCGATAGGAGCCAAAACCATCGGAAACCGCCACTTGAAGGAGGCTGTTCGTAGCTGCAGACCACGAAAGCCGCCCGGCTTTTGTGAAAGCCGCCCGGCTTTTGGCTGCTGTCCAGAAATTTCATCTCCAATCGGTTTGGAACGGGGATTGATCGAAGGGCTTAACAAAGGCAACCACTTCAGCACTTCATAAGGTGAGGATGGCTGACTATGTTGTTTATAATCTTTGGGTTAATTTCATAAGATTACCTAAAGTATTTAAATGTGATTTTCATGGATTATTAATGAGTAATAATGCCTAAATGAAAATACAATTGCTTATGAGTAATTGAAGTATTATATGCGAATTGCGAAGGAAGTGTGTATGGATACGTGATTATGAATATGATGGAATGATAGTTGAGTGAACTAAGAATATGGAGATAAAATATACTTTGCGTCATGTAGAGAATTCATGAATGGGTAAAAGTGATATTTTGACATTGGGAAGTAATTATATTTGAATTGGAAGATAAATTGAAATACACTATGTGTCTATGGGTTAAGAACTTGGTTGTTCAAAATTTATTCAACTAGTATTGAAATACTAGCCGAGATGTTAATATGAGAAACAATAGATTAATCCAATGAGTTGGGTTGTGAGGAAATTATACCTTGAGTAGTCCTAAGAGATACTTTAAGGTCGAGACGTGTAAGCTCTAAGTATAATAGGAGTAGGCCCTAAAGGCTACTCAATCTGAACCGATTCTAGGCATAGGAATTGCTTAGGGATTGATTAACGCGACTACGAGCGGGGCTCTAGCATGTTGAAATGATGACTAAGAGCGGGGCTCTAGCATGTAGGGATGGTGACTAAGAGCGGGGCTCTAGCATAATGTAGATGGACTAAGAGCGGGGCTCTAGCCAATGTGAGTTAACTAAGAGCGGGGCTCTAGTATACTGTAGGTGGACTAAGAGCGGGGCTCTAGCCAATGTAAATTAACTAAGAGCGGGGCTCTAGTATGATGTAAACGGACTAAGAGCGGGGCTCTATCCAATGTAGACAAATTAGGAGCGGGGCTCTAGTATGATGTAGGGAGACTAGGAGCAAGGCTCTAGCACGATGTAGGGAGACTAAGAGCATGGCTCTAGCATGACCCAATAGTATAACCGGGCGAGGCTCGGTGATGTTTATGCCATGTAATAGGGAAATGCCCAAATGACTATGAGTAAATTTACCAGAGGTTTATGACATTCGTGACAAATAGTCACGGGGGAAAAGGGGGATGGACTTACAAAATGCATACGGGTCTTCGGGCCGACTACTTGACTTTATATAAAGTAAGTATATTTTCAAAGAGGGTAACCACGGGTTACGACCTATATTATTATATCACCCTATTTGAGGGTCTTGGAAATTGAAACATTGATTATACTTAGTATAGTTGTCATTGTACTTGTCAAATGCTTCCAAGTACTGACCTCCCCTTCACGGGGGAGGCCACCTCACAGTTTCAGGTAGGAGTTGAGCTTGCTACCGGTGCCCGTTGTTTCGGGAAGATTCAGGAGGGAAGACGTGGTTCGTGCTTCCTCCGCCTCTGTTTTTTTTTAAACATTTAAAATCGATGCTCATGGATATTATTTGAATAATTATTTGGGGCTTGTATGCCCATGTTTGCCGAAGTGTGGCGTAAACACTTGTATTAAACGTTTCCGCTGATTTAAATGATTATTTTACATTATGTTTGTTTATGGATGTACTATTGTGAATGATATTCAAGACGCCTAGTATAGTATGGATGAGTTGGACTGCGGTTGACTATTCGTACTGTACGGCGGGTTGTTGACGTGTCCGGTAGGTCCGGGGCGTGACAATAACGGTATACCATTTATTTCCAAAATATATACCGATACCATACCGAAGTAATTCGGTACGGTATCATACCGTACCAAAAGTGTCGGTATACCAAACACTTCGGTAAATTCGGTATGGTAAGTCCGATATACCGAAATTTCGGTATTTTTCCCCACCCCTACCAGAACTTCATCAATTTCAGCAGATCATTAGATTCAGCTAATTTAAATATTATCAAAAGGGGTCAACCCTTATTTAGCCACAAGAACCTAAACGATGATTTTAATAATACAATATGTAATTGCAACATATGCTGTAAACGTGAATAAAAAAAGAATAGTACAAGAATTAATTTGACCTTGTTGTGAACTTGAAGTTCTCTCATTACTCGCACGCAAGACAGTGTGCCTATTTATAAGTAGGAATTGAAGCTTTTACTTTAGGCCGCGTTTTAAAGCCGTGAGATTCTAAAGTATCAAAGCGAACAATATCCACAAGTTGTTTAAAACATGTTATCAGCATGATGCTCGATTGCTCGCTATGAGGGAGTGTATTGTGAACCTGAAAAACACATTAAAACAAGTTATTAGAACATTTTATCTAGAAAAAATGACATGTATATATCTTTTGGACAAACTGTTAGAGAGGGGAACTGGACGGCCCATTGTTTAGCTGATATAAATGTAAATTTGGGCCTTCATTTATTTTTCAATCGGATTGATGAACTCCCCGGCCCGGCGAAGAAATTTTATTACGCTGATTATTTTGGTTTCCCGTTTTTTAGACATTGATTGTATTTTCTAATGGGTCAGGTCTCGCCCCCATTAGCTGTTCTGTGGTTTGTTTTTTCTCGGAAAGGTTTCGGTATAGTCCCCCTTTCCTTATGTCTTCCGCTGTTATCTTAATAAAATCTGGTAAATGATCCCCGGCATTTACCCCACCATGGGTGGTTTGCCTTCCGGGGTAAAAAAAAATGGCATGTATATTACTAATAGAGTTTTCCAAGATCAAAATATGTCTAGTTACGTTTTTTGTACAAAAATATGACTAGTCACTGATAGATGATGAATCGTTAGGAACTAGTAACTAAATATTTCATTTTTTAAAAAATGAATCATATCTTGGGTTTTGGATTTAATTTTGTAATATTCATAGAAAATGCCTTATCTATATTACATTATTTTCGGGACAATTCACAAAATAGGAGTCCAAACGTTTCACAACTAGAACTTCCAAGTTTCACAAATAGAAGTAATTAAAATAGAAACAATTACATATAGTCCCATACTCGTATTATAGGAGTCGTTATATAGGCAAATTGGCAAATTGGCAATTTTGTATTATAGTTTCCTACTCTCGTCCGCGGATTAGAACCCTAAAATTGAAAATCCGTTCGCTTCGTTCAACCTGCTCAACTTCAAGCAGAATTTAGAAGCAGCTTGCAACTCTTGTATCGCTTCCAGAGAAATACTGAGATATGAGTCGGCCGTTGGACGAGGCAGTAACCAAACTGGACGGCGTGAAGAAGCCTGTATTCCTTACCAAAGCTCAGAGAGAACAGTTGGCTCTTCAGCGCCGCCAGGAAGAAATCGTCGAGCAAAAGCGCCGTGCAGAGATGATTCTCCAACAAGTTAACCGACCTTCCAGCAATCCACCCTCCTCGCATAAAGATAACGGCAGGCCCTCCTCCAATGATGATCGCGATCGCGACAGGGATTACCATCGCTCCCGCGATAAGGACAGGGAGAGGGATCGAGAGAGGGAGCGTGAAAGAGACAGGGAACGTGAAAGAGAGAGGGAGCGTGAAAGAGACAGGGAACGCGATTCTGAGCGCAGGAAGCGCGAAAGGGAACGTGAGGATGATGCCAAAGAACGGGATCGTGCTAGAATTGAGAAATCAGCTGACCGGGAGAGGGAGAAGGAGCTTGAAGCCATCAAAGAGCAGTACTTGGGCTCTAAGAAACCTAAGAAACGAGTCATTAAGCCTAGTGAGAAGTTCCGCTTTTCATTTGATTGGGAGAACACAGAGGACACCTCCCGTGATATGAATTCACTGTACCAAAACCCTCATGAAGCTAGACTGCTCTTTGGCCGTGGTCTTCGAGCAGGGATGGACAGGAGGGAGCAGAAAAAGCTGGCTGCAAAGAATGAGAGAGAGATTCGGGAAGAGATCCGGAAGAAGGATGGTACTGAGGAGACAGCCGGTGAAGCAGCCGCAATCAAGAAAAAAGAGCAGGCAGCTGATTCGTATGACACCTTTGACATGAGGGTGGACCGCCATTGGTCTGACAAGAAGCTTGAGGAAATGACCGAGAGAGACTGGAGAATATTCAGGGAGGATTTCAACATTTCATACAAAGGATCCAAGATTCCCCGCCCCATGAGAAGCTGGACGGAGAGCAAGCTAACCCCAGAGCTTCTCAAGGCTGTTGAGAGGGCTGGGTACAAGACCCCATCTCCCATCCAAATGGCCGCAATTCCCCTTGGTCTTCAACAGAGAGATGTAATTGGTGTTGCTGAAACTGGATCAGGTAAAACTGCTGCCTTTGTTCTTCCCATGTTGACGTATATCTCAAGGCTTCCTCCCATGAGTGAAGATAATGAAGCAGAAGGACCTTATGCTGTTGTCATGGCTCCCACACGAGAGCTTGCCCAACAGATAGAGGATGAGACTGTCAAGTTTGCACATTATTTGGGCATCAAAGTAGTTTCTATTGTTGGTGGGCAGTCTATTGAAGAACAAGGTTTTAGGATTAGACAGGGTTGTGAGGTGGTCATTGCCACCCCTGGGCGACTCATTGATTGCCTAGAGAGACGGTATTGTGTTCTCAACCAATGTAATTATGTTGTGCTAGATGAGGCAGATCGTATGATTGACATGGGTTTTGAACCTCAAGTTGTTGGTGTACTTGAGGCCATGCCGTCTAGCAATTTGAAACCAGAGAATGAGGATGAAGAGCTTGATGAGAAGAAGATTTATAGAACAACATACATGTTCAGTGCTACCATGCCACCTGCTGTGGAACGACTGGCAAGAAAGTACTTAAGGAACCCTGTTGTCGTTACAATTGGAACTGCTGGAAAGACAACTGACCTTATTACCCAGCATGTCGTAATGGTCAAAGAATCCGAGAAGAGTTATAAGTTGCAGAGATTACTGGATGAACTTGCGGACAAGACGGCTATTGTGTTTATCAATACCAAGAAACAGGCTGATTTTGTTTCTAAAACATTGGATAAGGCGGGTTATAAAGTAACTACATTGCATGGTGGGAAGTCACAGGAACAAAGGGAAATCAGCCTGGAAGGGTTTCGGACGAAAAGGTATACTGTATTGGTTGCAACGGATGTGGCAGGACGTGGGATTGATATACCGGATGTGGCACATGTGATAAATTACGATATGCCCAATAATATCGAGGCATACACCCATCGTATTGGGCGAACTGGGCGTGCTGGCAAGACTGGGGTTGCAACAACATTTTTGACACTTCAGGACACTGACGTCTTCTATGATCTTAAGCAAATGCTCATTCAAAGCAACAGTCCTGTGCCCCCTGAACTTGCTAGACATGAGGCTTCAAAGTTCAAGCCAGGAAGTATACCTGACAGACCCCCACGACGGAATGACACTGTTTTTACTCATTGAAGTTAGAGTGAACATTTTGTTGTAGAATGTGTTCAAATGGATGAATGACCTGGTGGGGCGTACGACCTATTGCTCCTGGTAATGCATATCACTGGTCTCTTTTATTTAAGTAGTGCAGATCTGTTTTTAATTCTTATGAGTTTGAAAATTTGTATAACATATTTCAGTGACTAGCTCTTCCATCATCTGACTTGAGAAATCAGAAATTGAGAGTTATGTTTCCGTGCAAATTTTATTAGAGGGACACAAATTACTACATGAGGTGCATATTTCCTTGAACTATATTGATCCCCCACATGTAACTGTTGGCATTTCATTGCACAAGTAGTGTTTTCAGATCATACTTGATTTTTAGAATAGCAACCCTCTTATACACGAGATGATTAAATATGTTCTCCCTCCGTCTCATTCAAAGGTTCTCACTTTCATTTTTTGGATGTTCCAACTAAAAGTTTGAATTTTCTATTTTAGGAAACAATTAAAACTTTTAAATAACAATTTAATCATCAAATATTTAAAATAATACATCTATAACATCACAGTTATCATCAATAACTCGTTATATTATACGCCCATCAGAACTATCTCTCAAAATATACTCGAATTAGCATATTTAATTATTGTGTAAATAATCATTCCATTTTGTAATGAGACCTTTGAACGGGATGGAGGTAGTAAATTTTATTCAATTGCTGCCATTTTGCCTACGGTATGTGGCATTAAGCATGACTAACATATGCCACTTGGGACTTTGGTAGTAGTTGATACTCCATCCTCTCGAATGTCAATGCTTACTTTTGCTCAGCCTTTATTAAATACAAATCATGTATTTTACAAAACTGGCCTTCAAAAAGGATCTACAGACTACAGCCACAGTATGTCTAAAATGTTAAAAGACAGCAAACGTAAATTGAAAAAACTAAAATGCAGTGGTGCTTAATATGAGAAAGCACAAATCAATTTGGTGTAAAAATTGGAGTGAAATAGATCCAGTAACATTTTTTACTGATGTGAAAATCGCTGTATGGTCTTTGGTTTTATATGATTAGTTGCTGTACCAAGAGACAACCACTTGTTTTTGTAGACTCTGTTAAACTAGTTTGGAAATAGTTTGATTTCATTTACATCGGCATTAGACATTCATGTGGCTGATGGAGGCGGGCCTGCTCTAGTTAAAAATGGTGGTGCATGCATTTGCATGCTATGCACAAAGCAGTAGCTATTGCGGCTATAATATTATGCAGTTTGCTGAATAGTGTGTGTTTCTTAGAAGCGGTGGTCACGGGCGGTTTATAGAAGCGACTGTTAGTCTGCAACTGCTATAAGTAACTCATAATCTTCTCTGCGATTAGGTAATTCCAGTCTTGAGTAAATCCTGTACTAGCTTCTCAATTTCATTTTTTTGATTTTGAGGATATCTGTAGGGTCTAATGTTTGGTATGGTAGCACCGTTCTTTATTGTGATTGCATGATCACAATCTCTCATTGGAGGCAAGCCATTTGGTGGTTGGAACACTTCTTGAAAATCTGCTAGTATCTCCTTGATCCACCCTTTCTCCTGTTCTGTTTCACCCTGTGCTGATTCCACCCTAACTTCCACCAGTTCAGCACTGAACAAGTAATATCCTTCTCCTTGTATATGGATATTTTTTACTATGCTTTTAAAAGAAGCTTCAGATCTACTCAGAGTTGGATCTCCTTTTAGCATTTGTTTCTGGCTTTTCTCCTCCCATTTGATAGTTAGAGCTGACTGAAGTTGAATTCCACATTTCCTAACCCAGAAAGCCATTCTATTCCCAACACAATCTCAGTTCCACCCAAGTCTAATGTATAAAAATCCTGAATTATGTTGGTTTGTTGCACCCTGAGAGTAACAGCTTCACATTTACCGTTATTACTCACATGATCCCCATTTCCAATCTCCACTTTATGCCCCACAATCAATTAACACCACCACTTTCTTGCTACCCCTGTGGCCCTGTATCCTTCCTGTCACTTTAAAAGTTCTGGGAGTTGTAATGCTTGCCTTACTCATGATAGATAATTGCATTGTTGGGATTTTAACAAGATTCCAACTGAGGTATTTCTTTTTCTTCCTCATTATCTGATTCCTCTATTACCACAAACTGAAAATGTTTCATTCTGCAGGTGTGATCCTTGCTCCAGTTCTCTCCACTCTAAAGCATACCCCTTTCTGTTTAACTCTTGTAGCTCTTCAGGTGATAGCCTCTGACCTGCCCTTAGCCCTACAGGTTTACTTGCTGATTCACTTCCCTTTTTTTCCTAATGGCAGTCTATCTGGTTAAGTTTGATGACTCAAATTAGATCTCCATTTTGTACCATCAATCCATCTTTGAAATGTTGATGTGCTGCCCACTTTTTCTTTCCATCCTCTTCTTTCCTCCTCTCTATTTTTTCTTGTTTTGAGAGCCAGATATTTTTCTTCCAACAATAAAGCCCTATCCTTCAAATAAGCTAAAGTCCTGGCTGGATATAATTTCAACTCTACCCTTGCTTCTTCTTTCAGACCATTCAAAAATATCCCCTGTATTCCCATATCTGTATGTCGGTAAGGGGCTACAACTAGATCAAATCTTTCTCTATACTCCATGGCACTGCTAGTTTGTTTCACACTCAACCGAGGGCCAAAGGGATTTTTGTACCAAATCAGGTTGGAATCTTCTGATTAGAGCTGCCTTAAATTGTTCCCAATTACGCATTACTGCCTGTTCTTCCCACTATTGAAACCAATTTAAGGCTTTCTCTTCCATAGCTACGTTGAGCTTCAAGAATCTTTCGACTCTTATAGGCCAACCACAAGCATCTGACTCGTTAAAAAGTGGTAAATCCACATTTCTACCAGATTCCATAAACAGTCTATGTATTACAGTCTCATGGTACACATGTATGTTAAACGTATACTTCAATTTGGTTCGGTCTGGTACTGGTACTCATAAAATGAGAACCGATCATGACATGGTTTGGAACAGGTACAATTCGACTCTCTTTTCTAGTTCGGTATCATGCCGGTTCGGTATTTTTGCTTACCCTACAATCTACCATAGTACGTATCTATTTAGGAAAGATTTTTTTTGAAAGAATTTAGGAAAGGATATTTAACTTGTCCTTAACTATCTTCAAATTCAAATGTATGATATTCTTAATTTTTTTTTATTTCTAAGGAGGTGTATTGAATATGGATTGTGATGGACTTTTATTAATCCATGGGCTTTTTAAAAGTCTATGAAATTTTAAATTGAGACTTTTTTATGATTGAGTTCTATTGACTTACAAATTCATTGATACGTTTATTGACTTTTAAAAAGTCCATAGACGTTTAAATTCGGGGTCACTCCGATCATCAGAATTTTCACCTAGATCGCTGGTATCGATTTGCCTGTCCGCCTCCGTCACCGGAGTTCATCGTCGCCGTCATCAGATTGATAAGCCACCAACAAAATGACTTTGGTTATGCAAGGGAAATAGGGGCAATTAATTATATTAACTAATTAAATTAGGGGTAGAAATGTAATATTTAATCTTACTAAGAAAAATCAAACATATGACTATACTATGGTGAAAATGTCATGTTTTAGTCCTATTGGGCTATCGTAAGTAATTTCCTATTGTAATATGATAAAAAAACAATAAAATAAATGAAACAAATGAAGTTCATCCAGCAATGCGGAGTTCTACAAGAATAAATGAAGGCATAAGAAATTAATCCATTTTAAAAAAAAATCAAAGTTTCAAGAATGCTCAACGATTTCAATCTATTTATGATCAATTGTTGTATTACACAATTCAATGAGTAAGAACATTGATAATTACACAAGCGTTACATTCATTGCTACATGTGGTACAAGTATAGGTGCATTCGAGTTCTTCATAAATTGTTTTCTTTTCATCTTTAGCTTATTAAATTTTGTATATTTATTTACGGTTAAATATTGAGAAAGAACATAAATACCCCTACACTATAGGTGTGAGAACATATATACATCTCTTTTATTTTTTAGAACAAAAAGCTTATTAAACTAAAGGGAAAAGGAACAAATAAGCCCTTGAACTAACAAAAAAAGTGCGAATCACCCCTTATATAGGAAGCAATGTCCGGCCGTCGTCATTTGGGGAGGTTCCCGGTGTAATTTTTTGAGCATCTTTTTCATTAAGTCTAGTTTACCCATACCAAATTTGCGATAAAAATTCAATCGGGAAGGCAGTCAAATAAATTTTTGAAGATAACCGCGTGGTTAAACAACGAAGTATATTTCAGAAAATCATTTGACTACCTTCCCAGTTTATTTTAAGCTGAAATTTGGTATGCGTAAACTACACTGAAGTTCGAGGTTCCCAAAAATAAGCCCTCAAACTAACAAAAAAAAAGTGAAAATAAAATGAAGTGTTGGGCCTGGTTATGATTAACTTTTGAGTTCTAGATGCACTAAGAGAGAAAGCAGGAGTTGTACTCCAGGATTATTTAGTCTTCGATTTGAATCTAGGAGTTGTTTGTCCTCAAAGCACATTTTGCGTTGTCCTTCGCAGTCTAGCTCAAAATTGATATGGTTTAGAGATCTTGTTGACAAATTGAGGAAGAAGAAAAGGACATCAAGAAATCTTTATTATATATAAAGTAACAAAGTGAAGTCAGTCTTTGCCGCCCAAAATGATACAAAACAAGGGGCAAAATTAGAAAAACAACCTGCACACACGTTACTTCCCGCCCATCTAAAGCATTAAGTGTGAGATACGTTCCAAGTTTTTTTTTTGAGGGAGATACGTTCCAAGTTGACCATATATGGCAACAGTACAAATAAGGAAGGAAATAACATTGAATAATTTAATTTCGTATGTCAATTACAATGGCTGCACGTGTAGTTTACTTTGATAGAGCATTCCTACTTACAATGGCAACAATATAAATGAATGAAACTATGGAAGGAAATAAATTGTAATGATTCAATTCTGTATGGCAACACAAGTATACAATTTGTGCCCTAATATTGCTCCTAATAATGCTGAGACATAATATTGCTGAGACAAAAAATACCACACTAATTAGTAATTACTTACCATAAGAAATCGTAATTGAAGTAACATACACTGCATATTTATTTAACAAATATTTGTATATACAGAGTATAAATAACCACCCATTATATTTATTCACCTCATTCTAAAAAACTAGTACACGAATTTTATTGTAGAAGTAGTCGTTTTCTCTCAACCATGCCGGTAAAAATGGTTGATCTTGATGAAATTCAACCCGGAAGCATCGAATGGAGAGTTCGTGTACGTGTCATACGATTGTGGCAAGTTATGGAGTACGGAAAGCCAGAAAACGTGACTGCGATTGAGATGATTTTACTAGATCAGAAGGTAATTTCAATAGTGTTTCAAAAT